TTACAGGCGTGAGCCAACGCGCCAGGTCTGGGATGGATATTTTTAAGGCTCCTCATACATATTGCTAAACTCTTTTCTAGAAACGCTCTACCAGTCTACCATTCCACCATCAGAGTATGACGCCTACGGTTGAGATTTTTAGCTCACATAATTATGATGTATTTCAAGGGGAAATCTTGAAATATTTAACTCTTCTCATCTTAAACTCTCTTTTAGTGACCTACCTTTACTCCCAAGCCTCGGTGGGGAATTCCCAGTCACCCACTGGGAATCTCTACCTGGAAATCCCAGAGGCACTCAAACGTAACGTGTCCAAAACTAAATTATTTCTGTCACCTTCCCACCTCATATCCCCCCCCAAATGCTCCAGATTCAGAAAAAATACCCAGCACTGTGGCTGGCACCACGGTCAGATTCCCTACTGAAGCCATTCTTCTCGGATGAACCACGGGCACAACAGGCAGGGATGACAAGGGCAACGGAGAAGAGGGTAGAGTAAGTTTGAGACAGTCGAAGGCACGCCAGCGCACAACGGAACAAGGACAAATAGTGACGAACATAAGCCACTGAGCTTCACCGAGCAGCCAATGCCCAGAAAACAGGTATCTGCCATTAGCACACAGACTCAGTTTCCTTACAAGTAACCCAAGGGCTTCGCGGGTCACACCCGTCCTTCTCGCCCAGCGAGAGAGAACTGCGCAGCCGCCGGCGGGCTGGCCGCTAGGCGCGTGCGTAGAGTCACCCACACGCCCGCTAGTGCGCACGCGCCCTGGGCCGCGCGTGCGTGCGTGGGGTCCGGGAGGATGAGCCCCGGAAAGCAAGGGAAAGGGGTGGGGTTGGAGCAGGGTCTCGCGCATGCGTGCGCTGCACGAACCATTTGGCGGGTTTTTCCTGGCCACTCTTGTCTGTTACCGTCACTGAGAAGCTCTGGCGTAGCTTTTAGGAAGCGGGACGTTCTTCCCAGGAAAGCGTCCTCTTGAGATTTCTGCACTCTCCAGGGCGTTTGGGGGCCACACCTTCATTATTTTAAAAAGAGTATTTATCTGTGACCAACGGCCGGGGCCTTCTGACAGTGTGAGGTCTTGCTTGGGCTAGTTGATCACCTCCAGCCACGGTCCGCGGAGAGTGGAAGGATAAGAAGCCGAGGGTTTCTTGGGCGCAGGTCGGAGCTGGGTAGGCCCACTTCCCGGCCCCCGGCTTGGGCGACCATGTCCGTGTCGCCCAAGCAGCTGGCGGAGGAGCTGCAGATCTTCGGCCTAGACTGCGAGGAGGCTCTGATTGAGAAATGTGAGTCCCGCACCCCTCCCGCGCCCCAGCGGTGCTCCACGCTCTCGCCCGAGTTCCTCGGGGCACAAAACCGAAACGGTAGCGGTTCCAGTTTCCACCTTCCCTTGAGCTGAGTTCTCGGTGGCTGTGAGATGAAGAATCAAACTGAGTTTTGAGATTTAGGATGTGGGGACTTTGAAATGCCCACTGGGTACCAATTGAATGCCAAATGAAAAATAAGAATATGCAGCACGATTTTAAACCAACTCGAAGTTCCCGAAAGGCGGAATTGGGATGTGCTAGATCGAAACGAGGCTCGGGTGGCACCTGAGTTTGGAAATTGTTGACGCCCTGGTAAAGAAGCAAGAGGTGTGGGGGTTTTGATATGCAGCTTTTTATTCTTGGCTCCTCCCTTTTCAGCGTACACCTTAAACCTCTGCTGATCCATCAGTTCTCTCATCAGAGCTGTTGGTGGTATGTGCAAATATGAATCCCTTGAGGTGGGTTCCTAAAATTGAATTTGAGCTTTGGAAGGAGCTTTAGGGAGCTTGTTGGCTCCCTCTGTTTACAGATGGAGAAACAGACAAGGAAAGCTAATTGCCTGAGCTGTATGTGAAGCCAGGTGTCCTGCCACAGAGTGCAGTGCTCCATTATAGGAGTACTTCGTGTTGGTCAAGCTGTAGAGCAGTGTAAGGAGTTATTTGAAGCAAAGCTTAGGAGATGTGGAAGTTCTAGAATCGGTATGAATGTGCACCTGCCTTAACCACTCAACACTTTGAACTTCTTATATATAAAAAGAGAATGCAAGCATGTTAATTTATGGTGAGAAATTCCTTTCAGAAACCAGAATACTTCAAGTCTTTATGCCCAGGGCCCTCTCTTTTTTTTTTTTTTTTTTTTTTTNAACATTTCAATCATGTTTACAATGATTACATGTCAGGTTTTTTTCATATTGGGTGAAATAAAATAAAATTAATTTCACAGTTTGTTTGTTTTTTTTTTTTGAGACAGAGTCTTGCTTTATCTCCCAGGCTGGAATGGAGTGCAGTGGCACGATCTCAGCTCACTGCAGCCTCCACCTCTGGGGTTCAAGCAACTCTCCTGCCTCAGCCTCCCAAGTAGCCGGGATTACAGGCACCTGACACCAGGCCCAGCTAATTTTTTGTTGTTGTTGTTGGCCAAGGCTGGTCTTGAATTCCTGACCTCAAGTGATCCAACCACTTCAGCCTCCCAAAGTACTGGGATTACAGGCATGAGCCACTGCCTGGCCCTTCACTTTTTAAAAGTAAGCTTAAGTGGAAAACCTATTATTGTGAGAAATTTACATAGTAAGCATTAAATCAACACAAGAGTAATTAGTTATGTGAACCAAATTTGTAAAGGCTTCAGGCCAAGATGCCAGTTGCTTCCATCTCACGTAGGGCTAAACTGGCGTGGCTTTGTAATTGTGGGCTTTGGATCATCAGTAGCCTCAATGGCACCTTAATGTTGCCTGACAGTCAACTGTATTTCCCTGGTCTCTCTTTTTTTTTTTAATTTTTGACATGGAGTCTCGTTCTGTTGCCAAGCTGGAGTGTAGTCGGTGGCATGATCTCAGCTCACTGCAATCTCTGCCTCCTGGCTTTAAGCGATTCCTTTGCCTCAGTCTCCTGGGTAGCTGGGACTACAGGCGTGCACCACCAAGCCTGGCTAATTTTTTGTATTTTTAGTAGAGACAGGGTTTCACCATGTTGGCCAGGGTGATCTTGATCTCCTGACCTCATGATCCATCTGCTGCAGCTTTCCAAAGTGCTGGGATTACAAGCGTAAACCACCGAGCCTGGCCCTTTTTTTTTTTTTTTTTTTGAGATGTAGTCTCCCTCTGTCACCAAGGGTAGAGTGCAATGGTGTGATCTTGGCTCACTACAGCCTCTACTTCCCAGGTTCCAGCGATTCTCCTGCCACAGCTTCCTAGGTAGCTAAGATTACAGGTCCACATCACCACACTCGGCTCCTTTTTGTATTTTTAGTAGAGACAGAGTTTCATCACATTAGCCAGGCTGGTCTCGAACTCCTGACCTCAGGTGATCCATCCACCCTGGCCTACCAAAGTACTGGGATTACAGGCATGAGCCACCATGCCCAGCCCGTTGTCTCTTCACTCTGAGTCTTCCAGATTACTATTTTCCACCTTCTCCTCTTTTAACATCCTCTGTCCCACCCTCACTCTTAGCTGACAAACTTCTATTTTTTGCTGGAAAAAAAAAAAAAAATAGAAGCATTAGAAAACTTCTGTCAGCCACCACCATGACATCTCACTGACCCATATTTGTGGCATATACCTAGCCTTCTTTCCTATTGCAATGAATAAACTTCCATATTCCTAGCAAAATCCAAGCTCTCCACTTGAGTGCTAAACCCCATTCCTTCTCACCTAATTAAGGGCATCACTGGTAATTCTTCTCTTACATATTTTCTATTTTTCTCTTTACAATACTTTTTTTCCTACTAGTATAGAAATATGCTTCCAGCCGGGCGCGGTGGCTCAAGCCTGTAATCCCAGCACTTTGGGAGGCCGAGGCGGGTGGATCACAAGGTCAAGAGATC